TGTTAAAATAATAATTACTTGTAAATATAACGCAGTAAAAATATATTGCAAATATGTTGCAATTAAAAAGATATTTTATAATTCTATTATACTTTATTATATTTTTATTTTCTGTTTTAAATAACTAAATCGAATATACTTAAAATTAGTATATTAAATCGCTTTTGTTTTAATATTATAAGTCGTTTATCCCTCATTATAAGTCATTAGTTGCGGAGAATGTTAATATTAATATTTATCAAATTATTTATTTTTTAATATAACCGTTTTCCTCCTTTACTTATAAAATTTCCCGAATATGTAAAATCTATAAATGTTTACAATCTTACAATGGTGTAATTTTCAGTGGTTTACAGCAAGTTCACATATTAATTTACTGATATTTAAATGGGCTTTGGCCTTGGTCAAATTCCATTAATCGTCGAATCTCGAAGAACATAATGCATTCTTATTGGTAAAATTAAGAGAAAATATCTGCAAACAAAACTCCGACGTCTGTAACAATTACAATTAATATTATAATTAATATTATAATTAATATTAAAATATTCGATAACAATTTACAATAATAAAAAGTAAACGTGATTTTTGTTTATAACTTTTTAATAAACAGTGATCGCCAACTAAAACTTTCACAATATTACTTAGTGATGATCTTGATGATAACATATGATAACTTGATGATAACTTTGTGATAACATATATTATTGAACTCGAGAAGTGGTCCGTATAATAAATAATTATCAATTTTTTTCTATCTCTTATAGTTTCTAAAATATTCCTCTCGAAAGAAAAAAACCGATTTTTTTTAAGGGGTGCTTTACCCCCTAGACACCCATATGGGCATAAAAAGATATGTGTCCCTCATTTTTGTCTAGAAAACGACATATTAAAAGCTCATCAAAATCAGTGAGGAACACTTCCGTGCCTATACAAGACCTTCGTGATCGCATAGCACCTAAACGACGCGTCAGAGAACATGGATTGTTTGACAAAAAATGATCCTTTTTACAAGACCTATCTCCCTCACAGTTTGTTGCAGAAGTCCTGAATCACCCTGTATAAAGTTGCGATTATTAATAAAAGATCAAAAATATAATAATTATCATTTTAATTTCTATCATTTTAATTTCTGATATGAGATTTAAAATATTAAACTGATTGGAATCAATATGATAAATTTAGAAATTATTCATTTATCTGCCTATTTGAGGCATAAAGCAAGAATTTAATTCTAAATCAATTATATTATTTTATCTCAAGTTTTTTAAGTTAAATTTACTTTTATTATTTACTTTATTATTAATTTAATTAAATTGAAGTAGTCCTTCGTTATGTGAGATATAACTACATTATAACTACAGGTAGCAAGCACACATCATTTTGACGTTTTAAATTGGTCATTCACTATTCTGTACATCACGAGTTGATATTTTTATGACGTAAAAGTGACGGTCTAATGTCACACATTCTTGACGTTATGACATGTCCGCATTTTGACGTCATAAAATGTATCATATTTTGACGTCTTTTTCTTAACATAATAATGTATTTAATAGCGTTGTCGAATAAAGCAGATTAATCGATTCGAGAGTATCATTGAATTACAACCATTCTATCTGAAACGCGATCGCCTTCCTCGACGCTCCGCGCGGATAGGCTCATTGGATCGTCAGGATTCGAGAAAAGGGGGGAAGTAAATTTGTGCGATCATTGCGATTGTACTAATATGTATTTATTATGTCTAATGAATGTATGTGTATGCGTGTGTGAATGTCAGTGTATCTGAGTGTATGAAAACTATAATATATAAGAAAATAGAAAACGGCAAACACGGCGCGTACAGGCGATACCTAGCAGGTGCACGGAAAACGCGTAACTGGTCTTCGCGATACGGTTAGCGCATGTGAACTCTAACAGCACATGATATCATTCGAATATTCTATACTCATACTGTAAATATACGTTACAGATGTAATATACTGAGAATAATCCCATAACATCTCTTGTTGTATATTATTTTTCATATATTCTTTTATTTTTTCTTATTTTTCATATATTTTTCATATATTCTCAGAATATATGAAAAATAATATATAACAAGAGATGTTATGGGATTTTTCTCAGTATATTACATCTGTATAACGTATATTTATAGTATAAGTATAAAATATTCGAATAATATATCATGTGTTGTTAGGGAAAGGCATGTTATGTCGATATTCGAACGTGTCGAAGTGTATTTTTTGTGTGTATTATTATTGCTTTTTTTCTTTGATGCTGATTAGTTTATGCGCTGCAACTTGCTTTATTTGTGTTATTTGCGGCTGTCAGATCAACTATCAATTTTAACAGTTTTTGTAAAATAAAAATAATATCATTAAAAATGTATAATAAAAAAGAATAAATGAATGAATTGCGAGCTTTGTGTTGTTCTAGTCTAATATGTATAAAGTCAGCAACACACGGTGTTATTTTATTGGACGGGATTCGATAGCCTCAATTGACCAATTCAAAATAGGCCTCTTTGATTGGTTAATCGTTGCTGGTTACCCTAGACACAAGTTGATATGATTGGCAGTGGGCAATCGGGTTCGTGGGCAAACGGGACCCTCCCTATTTTATTTACTGGATTACCAATCTCCGTAAAATTAGCCAGTCAACATTAACTTTTTTATTGACGAATCGATTGTTGATTATTGTTGCTTAATTACAGTGTCTGTTGGTTAATATCTTTTTTGAGAATACAAAAATAAAATTTTGTGTGAAGTTAGTCGGAGAAATATAGATTCTTTATCATTTTCGTTTAAAAACCAGTTAAATCGATGCGCAATAGTTTGTTGGTGACGAATAAATTAATTAAAACGTTTGTTGATTATTTGCCTTAAAAAATGAAAATAAACTAATTGCATTTCGATGGAGGGATGGAGTCGTTTGATACGGTGTGAAGTTGGCTTAGGGTCTCCGAAGATATGTCTTTACGTTACGATTTCTGTGCGTTGACTGAAGTTTAAGTTTATGTACGGAGTTAAATTTACAATATATACTTAACGTAACGTAATACAATACGGAACACCTTGTGCGGAGGCCCTTAAGCGGCGTCTACAATGAGATTTTAAGGCGTAAGACTTAAGAGATTGACCAATCACGGTCCAGTATGAACAGAATATGTAATTTGCAATTATATATTTTCTCTTCGAAACTATGCGTTTTCTTTATACCAATTGATTCCTCTCATTATTTTATTTTAAAAGTATTAAGGTAAGGTAATCGAAACATGAATATTTTACAAGATATTTTATGGTTTATGTAAAACTAAAAAATTACTTCAAATCTTATAACTCGCAAAGTACTGAATAAAAACTAACTTAGTTATAGTGTTTTGGAAAGCTCTCGAGATGAGCTGCAAGAATATGCAATAAAAAGTAGGCGGTTCCATTAAAAAAATTGAAGGTGACCTTCAACTATTCAAGGTCAAGTTAATGACACCATCTTATCTCCCTTGAAACTATATAACTTTTGTCTGCAACATTTTTGCTGATAATACTTCGTTGTAGAATTATTGAGTTGCATTTTTTAAAATGGGACCCTGTATATACATATACATATGCAGAGTATGTCTAAACCTGTCAGAGATTTTAAGAGCGTGTTCTAAGAATCAAAATAAGAAAAAAATTCTTATAGACATGGATCCAAAAATGCTTTCTCTCCAAATTATGGTTCTCTAAAGTTGGTGGAAAAAATTGCAAAATGTATAACTCGGAAAGAAAGCATTTTTGGACCTCTGTTTACAAGAACTTTTTTTCTTATCTTGATCTCTATAATACATCCTTAAAAATGTCTGACGCAAATTTAAGAACATCCTATATATATAATTCTTATTAAACAGATTTGACATATGAAATTATATTCCAATAATGCAAATAAACATGCAAATTAACATGCATAATTAAAAATTTAAGTACAGTTTTCTTTAATTACTGCAAGTGACACGTCGAAGATTGTATTTTTTAAATATTTATTTAAATATTTATATACTTATACAAATATTTGTTTTTATGATAACTAAACTATGAGTAAAAATGAACTATAAACTATACATAAAATTTTATCATATTGATCATTATAATCAGATATCATTATAAAAATATATATTGCGAACAACTTCAGAACCCAACTTCAGAAAGTATAATATACATAAAAATTTAAGTTATACAAATGGTTGCTTTAGATAAAATATTTATCACAGACGGAGTCAAAAATTACAATATAAATATAGGAAGAAAATATCAATTTAAATAACAAATCTCTTACTATATATATCTTATAATTATACTTTTTCGTACACATTTGTATTGTTTTTTGTGTGTGTGTAATCATTTGCATCAATAATTTTTTCCCTTAATTAAGTAGTTTAATTAAGTAGCTCAATTTTTTTGTTCTTTTCTTTTTATATTATTATTCTACTCATTAACATAAGAAGAATACACTTGGTTTGAATAAGTAAACACTGGTGCAATTGGTCTTGACCACAGATGTGTATGGTCTTGACATACATTCGAGAAATAAGTTAGAAAGTAAGTTTTCCAACTCATTCACTTTTTTAATACTTTATTTTTGTGAAGGTACTTACACTCAAATATATACATACATATCTTTACATTATTTTTCAAAAGGAATTCTACTTTCAATTGATAGATTTGATATATGAATTTACCATCTAGAATACAACTTGAAGACAGAGAAGGAAAATATATTAAAAAGTAGTAAATGTATATATTTGAAAGATGTAAATAATACTTCACCAAAAATAAAATGAAGTAAATGAGTTAGAATCTCATTTTTCAACTTTCTTTCGTATATATTTATATATGCGTATGCATATATGCATAGCTTTAATAGAATTGGAAGAAATATTTACAAATCTAATTAGAGTTAACATTTAAACTTGCGTTTATGCACTTTCAAAATTATATTAATTATAAATAAATAATTACATAATTGAATAAATGATTCCAATAGAATATGAAATTCTTCATCTTGTTCTTCAAAAAGGATATTTGCACTAAAACTCGGTATAAAATTCCAATCGATTCTATTATTGAGTTATTAGTTGAGTTGTTATTCAAATATATACCATCAAAAATACTTATACTAATACAAATACGCATTCAATTAGATTAGCATAACAAAATCCGTTAACAAATACGGAAATAAAAAAACAAGGTAGAAAATCTGAGTGATGTCTTTATGTGATGTTTCTTAGTAGTATTGAAGACTTTAATTATAAGTTGATACTGTATGTTATCTAATCATTCCACGAAATCTGTCCAATTCAAAAATACTTTCTGACAACCTGTAAAAATTGGGAATATTACTAATGATTGAAGTTTATTTTTCATAACAGGATATCTACTCAAATCTTTAAAAAATTTCTTGATTTTTCAAGTATTTTTGTTGAAACTTCCAAATAAAATATTTTTTGAAGGCAGCAAAGCTTTTTGAAGAAAGTTCCTTTAATCGTATGTTTTCTGATACTTTTACTTATATGTATAAAGGAAAAACAAAACTACTTAAAATTTAAGTGCTAGATTTGTAAATGTACTAAAAAATAATGAATAGCTTCTGTAAAATGATATTTTGCATTTGCATAATGCATTCATTTCCTTATCATTAAAAATTATAATAAAGAATATGAACTGCATGTTTAATATATTGTTAAAACTGAATAAACAGAAATAAATATATATAAATAATAAATTAAATTATAAATATTTATAATTTATATTATATACTTATAATTTATATTTTATATTTAAATTATATTATAAATTTAAATAATTCAAACATATAATTCACTTGTCGGCGAATTGTTGACTATTTATAATATAAGCAGAATTATTAAGATTTTTTTTAGAAATTCTTTAAATTCCAATAAGAATCCTTTGATTTATCTAGGTTTAAAAAAAATTTCTAATTGCAGATTTTTCTTTTATAGAGTAGATATCCTATATAATAAATATTAAGAATGAAAGCTACCTTCCAAAAGCATTTACCAAAGCAACAATTTCACTTCTTTCTAAGAAAAATGATTTTCGATTCAGATTATTAAGTGTTGGTTTCCATCTATCAAATTTTCCTGAGAATAATATCTTCAACGCAGTGCCCAGGCCATGAATTTGCAATTTACCCCATAGCTTACATTTATCACATCCCACACAATCCATAATACGTGAAATATTTCTAAAATGTTGTCTAAATTCTTCTTTCAACAATTGTGCTTCCGTTCCACCAGTAAACATTACAGTTTCATTGAAATGTTCCGGAAATGATCTGCAATGAATCATTTTATATGTATATTGTGATAAATAAAATATTTTTGTATAGAATACTTACTTGATGACATTCAGTATATCATCCATTGCCAATCTTGTATCTTCATCTTCTATTTCATTACCTGTATAATATTCTTCTCTTTCTAAATAAGGTACGGCTTTAGCTAGAGCTCTTAATTCAAGTAAATAAATAAAATACAAATTCTTTAGCCAGTTTGGACCTTCACCACCTGTTGTTTCAGAAGAAAATCTTCTTTGTAACTCTTCCAAATTAGGACCCCACTGATTATCAGAGGATACTTGCAAACTATCTTGAGGGACTAACAAATATTTTGAACACAAATGTATATTAATGCTAGCATGCAAGCCAGATATAACTCGGTAAAAAACTCGCTTCTCTAAACACATTCCTGTAATATAATATATAAAATATAATATATATAAATACATACATATATATACAAAAAAAATTGTTAATTGCAAATTACATATTTTTTCTTCGAAACAATTATGTGTTTTCTTTATACCAATTGATTCCTCTCATTATTTTATACATAAAAGTATTAAGATAAGATAATCATAAAATGAATATTTTACTGGATATTTGATGATTTATGTAAAATTAAGAGATTATGTCAAGCCTCATAACTCAAAAACTCAATGAAAAAATGTTTTATTGTTTTGAAAAGCTCTCGAGGTAAGCTACAAGAGCTTTTTTTGGGAAGAGATTGACCTGACACCCTATATATATATATATATATATATATATATATATATATATATATATATATATATATATTTAAAAAATGAATATGCAAAGTTTAATATGCATAATTGTTTAATTTTTTAACGTCTTTTCAGATTAATTGAAATTCTATTTTACATAAATAATGTAAATAATATTATAAATCATGTACATAAAATTTATAAAGAAGTTTTTTAATAATAAGTATATAATAATCAGTTTTATAAATTTTGTAAGTTTTGTAATTTATAAAAGTTTTTTTATAATAAAATTATAATAATAATAACAATATATGGAAAATATACAGATATTGTGAAAAAACATATTTAACTATTTCATATTGTTTGAAATAATTTGAATCCATCGTATTTTTAATTTAATTAGTTTCTCTATCGAGAGCGCTCAATACGAGAGCGATAAAAACAATATGCTTTTGTTATGGTTGTTATGTACATATCTTTTAAGTGAGATATATGATAATAAAAAACATTCAATTTAATTTGAGAAAAAATATTTGTATGAATTCAATTTCAAGAAACACATATATTCATATAAAGTTAAAAAAAACTGAAAGTGGTAGAGACAAACTTACCATTTATCTTAGAAGATTGTATAAAAATGTGAGGTGAGTTTTCAGGTCTGCAAACAATAATTTATTACTACATTAAATAAATATTAAATTACTGAATTTATATTACTAAATTAAATTAAATATTAGGATAAAATATATAAATAATATTTGATATAATTATTGTTATATACCTAAAACAATTTTCCTTGTAAATACTTCGCCATATTCTGTGTGCACTGAATCCTTTATATCCTGTATATCTTTCAGGATTAAGTAAAAGATCTACGTATTCCCCTTGACTAGTTTCTTTTACACAAAAATTATCTTGTGCATCATCATGTCGTTGCCATCGTTCAAATTCTTTGTAATTTTCTGTACTATAATAAAATTTATATCTTATCTTGAACATTTACTCAATATTAAGTATATTTTTTAATTACCTAATTGTTGTGTTTAAGAAACCAAGTTCCATATTATGATCTCTCGAGCTATGTCTGCAATCAGTCATTTGTGCATCGGATCTATACTTATCTTCTGGACTTTCATTAAAATGAATATCTCTTAGAATTTCTCCTTTTAAACCTTCCGGAATTTCGTTCTACAATAGTGTAAAAAATAAAAATTATGATTATTATTTAAATTCACATTTTATATATATATATATATATATATATATATATATATATATATACACATACAGGATGGTCCATTTTAATCCATCCAGTCGAATATCTCGAAAACCAAGCCCAAAAGACAAAAATGTTTCAGACAAAAGTTGTTTGGTTTCGAGGGGGCCATAAGATGGTACCATTGGTTTGACCTTGAAGAATCATTTGAAGGTCACATGAAGGTCACCTCAATTTTTTTAAATGGCACCCCCTATTTTTTATTACATATTCTTGTAGCTTATTTCGAGAGCTTTCCAAAATGCTATAATAAAATATTTTTTCATTGTGTACTTTTCAAGTTATGAGGCTTGAAATTATTTCTTAATTTTACATAAACCGTAATATATCTAGTAAAATATTCATTTTTCGATTATCTTGCCTTAATACTTTTATGTACAAAATAATGAGAGAAATCAATTGGTGTAAAAGAAAACACATAGTTGTTTTAAAGAAAAAATATGTAATTGCAAATTACATATTTTTTCTTATGGTCCCATCGAAACCAAACAACTTTTGTCGGAAACATTTTTCTCTCCCAGGCTTGGTTTTCGAGATATTCGACTGGATGGATTAAAATGGGCCACCCTGTATAAAATAGAACTTACATCTTGACAGGGTAATACATGACAATCACGAATAGCACATTTGCTATCATCTGCCCAGAATGGACAAATTTGGTTCAAGTTTACTTTGTAAAACCTAAAATAATCTCTGCCTAGAAGACTTTGAATTCTTGGATATATTCTCATATTATTAAAATAATCCACAGTATCTACATTACAAGTACAGTCGTCTATAGATCCTTTCAACTGAAATTTGAATTGTAATTTAAAATATATATAAATAGTAAATATAATGCAAAAGTATAACTTTTAATTACATCAAAATATCTCGATATCATATTATCTTAATAATATAACATAACACAATATAATATAATATAATATAATACTTAATAAGCTATTAACTTAATATTATAAATTTTTAAAGAAATTATTTTTATAAATTAGAAAAACAAAAAATGAAAAATATATAATTACAAAAAGAGGAAGAGATTATAATTCCAAATATGATAGATGCATGAAAGTAAGACACTTCAAATTATAAAATATTATTTTTAGGTAATGACACAAGATGATATTAACATTCAATACCTTGCAGAAACATTGATCATCCTTCCTGGAATTAGTTCTAAAGTAATTTGCACCTACTTGCAGGTGAAAAAGTAAAATTGTTAGGAATAGCCAATAGAATATTCTCTCACTGTACCCAAGATTCATCTTAACACACTAAAGCTGATGCGACTAAATTGTCGCACCATTAATCAAGACGTGATATAAAGTATATCTTAAAATGTTATATAGAAGAAGGAACTCGGTTACTTTCGAATCACATCAATCACACCTACTGCATGGGACATACAAATCTAATAGATCTGATGGTATAAAACAATATTGTACGTTTTGCCATATTATTCTTATTCGAAAATAAATCTTGATTGAATAATGACAAGCATGAAAACTATAATACACACGCGAAAAAAAACAATAATACACGTAATTTCTACACAGAGAATTTTCAGGGTCTCTCACAACGTATAGTGAAGTAATTAACCGTTATGACATGCTGTTACATACGTATAATATAGATGTCTGATATACATGTAAAATATAGAATACGTGGAATACGTGGGATACGTTGATTTGCACGAGATACGTATCAGCAGAGGGAAGCCTGAGAGGGACCAGGCCGCTGTTTTTCCTGTAACGTTTTCTCTAAGTCGTATACTAGCGGCGCATACATCCATTTTACGCCACCTGGAACTATCTGGACACATCCACTTTACCATGCCATGATAAAATAGTCGATTAGATTATACAGGGTGTTTCAGATCACTCGTACCATCCATTTAAAAACTAGAGAAGTGGTTATTTCAGAAAAGTAAAAACATTTTCTTTATAAATCGGGTGCGTTCTATCGAATGGTGATATTTTCAACTTCTGGTTCCGGCCGGAAATAGACGATTTAAACCGGAAATGCATTTTTTTAAATGGAATCCCCTATTTTTCATTGCATATTCGTGTAGCTTACTTTGAGAGCTTTCTAAAACACTATAATAAATTATTTTTCCATGAAGTACTTTTCGAGTTATAAAGCTTGAAATTATTTCTTAATTTTACATAAACCGTAAAATATCTAATAAAATATTCATTTTTTGATTATCTTACCTTAATACTTTTATGTACAAAATAATGAGAGGAATCAATTGGTGTAAAGAAAACATACAGTTGTTCTTAAGAAAAAATATGGAATTGTTAATTGCAAATTACATATTTTTCTCCTCATCTCCTCGCCCCTCCATGACGAACCGGCGCGAGAAGATGTGGAGAAGTGCTCCCCACTTCTCCGGCATTGAAAAGAGAAAGAAACTCATCTTACATCTTTTGTCTTTCTTTTCGTATGCTTAACGCTTATACAATGGATGCTCGATCTATATTTACTATGTCTATGAACGCACCCGATTTATAAAGAAAATGTTTTTACTCTTTTGAAATAACCATTTCTCTAGTTTTTAAATGGGTGGTATGGGTGATCTGAAACACCCTGTATAGACAACAAAGGGTGCTTTCCATTTAGCGACACAAATCGACACAAGTGTCATTCTATCTTCGTTTATTGTTATTCATTGAAAAAAGATAGAATGACGCTTGTGTAGAGAACCTCTAGGAGAGAGAATGGACAACTGATCATGTGACATGTGATCAAGCTTTTTCATGATTGGCTGGCAGAAAATGTATCAATTTTAGCTATTGCGACGCCAATGCAAAATATGATGACACACAAATAGGACACACATGACACACATATATTAACCTATTTGTGTGCATCATATTTTGCATTGGCGTCGCAATAGCTAAAATTGATACATTTTCTGCCAGCCAATCATGAAAAAGCTTGATCAGTTGTCCATTCTCTTTCCTAGAGGTTCTCTACGCTTGTGTCGACTTGTGTCGCTAAATGGAAAGCACCCAAATAAATCATTTCACAAGCGACGACGTCGCCACCTATCGGCCGCCTATCGGAATCAAGGCTAACGGCTAATGGCGCGAACATTTAAATACAATATATCAGCTCTATTGTTTAAAACTATCTATATCAAGAACATAATAAACTTTTCCTATTAACTATTTGGTAGAATAATTGCTCCTCGATTTCTTTATCGAAATATTCAATCGATCCATTTGTGCTATTAATATTTTATAATATATTAGCAAAAAACCAATCATTTTCTTGGAAAAACATATTTCCCATAGTCTATCGCAAATATATCTAACATAAAACGATTGCTCCCTAATTGCTTCGCATTGCTCTATCGTTATTTTAATAATTATTGTATTTTTTTTATCGAAAATTGACGAAAAAATCATTTTACAAATGATGACGTCACCATGCACCTATTGGCCACCTATTGGAATAAATGGCTCAACGGCCAATGGCGCGAATATTCAAACAGCATATAAGCTCTATTGTTTAAAACTATATGCACGCTCACGCATGCTCAATTATGATATTTTATGTGTATCACAGAATATTAATAACGCGCATATAGGCCGGTATTCATAGGCCGGTATTCATAGTCCGATCTTATATTTGAGATCGTCTTAAGTTCGAGCTTGAAATGCTACGCAGCTATTTGATTGGTTGAATGAGGTCTTAAGTCAACCTCCAAGCAGACGATCTTAAATATAAGATCGGACTATGAATACCGGCCTATGAATACCGGCCATAGTTTTAACAATAGAGCTGATATACTGTTTGAATATTCGCGCCATTCGCCATTGAGCCATTTATTCCAATAGGTGGCTAATAGGTGAACACGTCATCACTTGTGAAATGATTTTTTTCGTCAATTTTCGATAAAAAAAATGCAATAATTATTAAAATAATAATGCAGCAATACGAAGCAATTAAGGAGCAATCGTTTTATATTGGATATAATTGCCGAAAGTTATTAAAACATGTAGTTCCGATAAGTGGCCGACAGGTGGTGACGTCTTCACTTATGAAATGATTTATTTGTTATCATAATGAATTTTATTTTATTTTATTTTATTTTATTTCATCTTAGACTCTCGTTACAAATATAGTAATTTCGTGTAAAATGAAATATAAGAATAACTTGTTAATAATATAATAGCTGGATGGGAATATAAACTCCCAGGCTTTCTTTTATACTGTAAATAAAAAAAAATTATTTGTTAATTTTCAATAATGCAATAAACGTTAAATTAATGATCGAGCAATAGGAAGCAATTAGGGAACAATCGTTTTATACCGGATATAATTGCTAAAAACTATTAGAAATATGTTTTTCTGTAAAAATGATAAATTTTGTTTTTTACAAATATTAAAAAAAACTATTAATTTTGAAAGGGGAGCAATTGTAAATTCGAACGAAACAATT